TGGTTGGAACAGCAGGAGGAAACAAAACAGTGGAGGTTAATTTCAGTGTTAAACCCATTACAGATTGCCACTAACTCACTTAAAGTCCAGCGGGTAATCAGTTTCCGCCACACAGAACTCCCCTGTAATTCGATTTTCACATCGCGATCGTCCACAAGTGTTATCGTAGATCACGGCGAAGGAAAACAAACCAGGTCTCCGGAGAAAACCGAGTAATCCATCGACAGAATCCAAAAGTTTTGTTTTCAGTTTTTGCACTCGCTAATTCGTTACAGATGCCCACGATGGTAATCAGATTACTTGAATCCCATTACATGTGTATTCAGCGGTTCCACATCCTGGTGAGAGAAGAGAAGGAGTGGGAAAATTGATTAGTTTCACTCATTGATAGATGTTTTTATTCATAACATGAGGTCAGAGTTTATGTAAGCTTGTTTCCACCCACACACACACACTCACATGGACACGGAAACACACACACTCGCTCACACACTCACTCACTCACTCACTCACTTACACACAGACACGGGGGGAGACTGTCGTCCTCCCTCTCCACTCTCTGTTTGTCTGTTTCTCCCTCAATATCAGCCTTCTTTATTTCTTCCTTCATCTCTTTAACCATTCAGATCCCAAACACGCACACACACACACGCACACACACACACACTCTGTACATCAGCCCGAACCGCAGATCAAGCCTTTCACTGCTCTTAATGAATCCTTTGAAAGCAGGCGCCAGGGCCTTTGTAACACACACTCTCTGCATGCATGCACAAGAACACACACACACACACAAACACACAGGCAATCAAAGTGCAGTTGTGATATCGTGCCTTATTAATGAGAACTGCAGGAGAAAACTATCTGTGTGCAGCTGATTCACTTTGCAGCTTAAGAGACAGTGAACACAGAGAGAGAACAGAAGAACTGTTGTTAAAGCCGGTCGGGGATTAGTTGCTTGTAAAGGGTCAGTTTACCCACACTGGGAAAAAAAAAAAAAAAAAAAAGAGTTAGTTCTCATTTAGTCCTAGTGGTTCCAAGCATGGCCTCAGTTTTATTTGCCTAGTTTGTTGTTTTTTTGCCCCACTCCCTCCGACTTTTTACACCCGTCTTCAAAACATTCTCATCCAGGGAAATGTAACGAAAGTGTAGGCAAAGTTAACGGACAAGCCAATGCACGGTGAGGAGAGTTCCAATTTTTACAGCAGCAGGGGTTTCATTTTATATCAACGTAGCATCTAGAGTAAGTGCTATTAAATGGCACACGAACATACTTTCCTGTCAGCCTTTTTAATGTAGATCTTGTTTACTCTGTGTTCCTGGCTGGCGAACACCAGCTGGGCTGTTCTAAAAATGGCTGAAATCATGAAATAAGTAAGAGTTCTGGCGCCCAGTCAAACATGTGTCTACTTCTCCAAGCAATTGAATAATGGAAGTGAACGCCGCAAGTGCAGAGAGAGGCTGATTCACAAGAAGAAAGTGGGTGAGACGTGGAGAAAAAGTACAGGCTCAAGTTAAAAGCTGCGTTTACTGCCTTTTACATCACTGCGTTGTGACGTACAAGCTAGTAAAAGGAAAAAAAAATCAATTTTGGAAAAAATCACATTATGTAATGAATTATTTATTGACACCTAAAACACATTGTGTTTTGTGTATTTTTTTATCTATTTTTTCAATTTTATGTTCCTGTTGAACCTCTGAAAATATAATACTGCAGAAAAGTACAAAAAAAAAAGAAAAATCAGCTATGGAGGGAACTTCCATAATTTCTCAAAATTAGAAAGATAAAATGTATGTCAATAAAGATAAAACAATGTTTTTTTATCACTTTCCTGATCTTTTGGAGTCAAATTCCAAATTCAAATTGGATTAATTGAAGTCTTGAACACTGACATTGAAACTGTTATTACACACACACACACACACACACACACACACACACACACACGCCAACATGAAAGGCCGCCCCCGCGCAGTCCCCCCCACCAGGGCCCTCCCTGCGCCCCCCCCCCCCCCCCTCTTCATACACAAACAACATGCATACATACACACATGCCAGCAATCTTGCCTGGTGCCAGCACTAACATATGCACGCTCACATCGCCATACGCTGGAGCGCGGCCATCAATGTATGCACTCGCACACATGTTGGCATGACAAAGCGGCGTTACGGTTG